GAAGGAAGGGCGGTCCGAAGCCTGGCCGTTAGACCCCGCTCCACCAGATCCAAGGGCCCGGCTCCTCCGCATCACCCCTCTACCACCCCCTGAAGGGGCCTCATCCTCTGTCCAAAGTGTCATGCCCAACAACGGGCCAGAGGGCCAGAGGAAGGGGGGGTGGTTGCTGCCTTGATGACACTTCTGTTGGCATCTTCTTGGCCAGAATTCAGACCCGTGGCCTCACTAAGGGAGGCTGGGCAGTCGGTCCAGCTGAAAATCAAGATCTTACCACTCAGGACGAATGGACATCGAGAGGAAGCCGACCACCCCTTCCACAGAGGACAAAAATCATGCTGACGGCAGTCTACTCACTGAAGAACCACCTGTGCATGTACCATGACAACAGCCAGTACTTGCTGAACTGTTACCAACTGTGGGCACGTGACCCGCGTCACCTAGTCCTTACACCCACCTTCGAAGGATACTACAGAGAAGCAGGCCGAGGCACAGGGAGGCAGAGCGACTTGTCCAAGGCTACCCAGTGAACAGAGAAGCAACTCTCACCAGCGATTACAGGGCCAAACCCAGGGGCCAAATGGGCTGGTCCGAGGGGCTCAAGAACTCCAGAGTGAGGAGGGGGCACGGAGCCAGAGGTGCGTTCTCACTTTGAGCCCCTGCATGCCTCAAGCACCTGACCACTGTGGAGGTCCCCCCACAGCACACTGTCTGCTGCCTGGGTTTGCCATCCGTGGGCAGCTGGCACCAGGCAGGTGCCCAGAAGACATCTGACCCGTGAGTGAACACAGGTGCGAGGCCCGCTCTGTGCCGGGCTCTGCGCTGGGACTGAGACCCAGACCCTGCCCGCTGGCGCTCACTGCCAAGGAAGGGGACGGCCAGCGGCCCTGCTGGGAGCAGAGCTGGTGCAGGCAGAAAGCCTGGTGTGGCTGAGCTGCACTTTAGGAGTCACGAGCAAGAAGGGATGCAGCGCCTAAGGTAGGCCGAGGTCAGTCTGCCGAGTCTTCTGGAGTCTGAAGTGAGAAGCGTATCCTCGGCCCTGCAGCAGCAGGGGGGCTGTAAGCAGGTGGCGGCAGGCGGCGTCTGGGAGGACTGTTCTGGCAGCCTGTGCAGAGGACGAAGGCAGGGAGGTCCGCGGGGAGGCTGGAGCACTGATGGGCGGGCACCCAGGAGGCGAGGGCCTGAGCCGGGATGGTCAGGCAGCTGCAGGTCAGGAGGGAAGAGGTGGGCTTCCAGGGAAACAGGCCCCTGGCTGAGCGGGTGGGATAGGGGAGGAAGGGAGTGGGGCGAGATGAAGAAAACAAAGGCGGCCTCTGTGGGAGGGGGAAGGAGGGGGGCCTGAGGGGGCCGCAGCCAGGGGGGCTGGAGAGGGGCCCTGGCTTGGGCTGGGGCGGACGGCATTTGGACGCCAGCAGGCTGTGCTCTCACGGCTCAGAAATGTCCCAGTCCTGCCAGGAGACGCCTGGCTCCACTGCCCCTGCCCCCCCAGCCCCCGTCCCCGGCTCCCACATCAGGAGCTCTGAGGCCGCCCCCTACCCCTGCCTTCTGCTCCCCCAGAACAGGCCTCCCCTCCCCAGATGTACCCCCACCCCCACCATCCCTCAGCCTTCCCAGCAGCGCTAATGAATTGCAGGCCAAGGAAGGAGAGAGAAGATAAACAGAGGCGTGCAGAGGGGCCGGGGGTGCCTCGGGGCCGCAGGGGCGGTGGCGGAGGGGCTCTTGGGAGCACTGAGGCAGCGGGAGGTGAGCATCTGCAGTGCTGTGCTTAATGAGACACAGGTGGGCCCTTAGCCCAGGCCCAGCTCGCCACCCCCCTGCCCCCGACTGTGGAAGTGGATGCTGGTCCGGTGCCGGGGGAGGGGGAGAGGGGGCTCCGCAGCCGCGGGGCGGGGCTGGGGCGGCTGGCCGGGGCCCAGCACATAACTGGGCGGTTGCAGTCTGGGGCGCAGTCTGGGGCAGCAGACACCCAGCCACTCAGAGCTGAACTGGCAGCATGAAGGTACAGCTGGGGTGGGGGCCTCATGGCGTCCGGGGACCGAACCCGCTCCAGGGAGAGGACCTCGCGGGGGGCCGTGAAGGCAAAGGGGGCTCTCGCGAGCCCACTCAGAGAGTGGGGTCCCCCAGGAGGGGTGGGGGAAGGGCAGAGCAGGGTTCCTGGCAGGGAAGCAGGGTCACGGGCTGTGGGAGGGGTCGGGGGGTGACCCTGTCCTTCTGTCACCAGGCTCTCCTGGCCCTACCGCTGCTGCTGCTGCTCTCCTCAGCCCCCTGCGCCCCCCAGGTCTCCGGGATCCGGGGAGATGGTAAGCCGCCCATGTCCCCAGTTGAGGCCTGGCTGACAGGCTGGGCCGGGAGGCTGTTCTGAGCCATTTTTCGGGGGTCAGACCTGGGCCTGAGTCCTAGGTCTGTGGGACTCGCTCTGCCACTAAAACAGGGCAGGTGGGGAGACCATCTTTGAGCAGCCCCTCTTGAAATGTGGGATTTCCTGTGACTGGACGCCCCCCCCACCAGCTCTGGGAAACCATGAGGTACAGGGGTGTCCATCATGCCTGAGGCTCCTCTCCACACCCCCACCCCCAGCTCTGGAGAGGTCCTGCTTTCAGCAGCCCCTGGACTGCGACGACATCTACGCCCAGGGCTACCAGGTGGACGGCGTGTACCTCATCTACCCCTCGGGCCCCAGCGTGCCTGTGCCCGTCTTCTGCGACATGACCACCGAGGGGGCAAGTGGACGGTGAGTGGGGGGGGACAGAGACCTGGATCGTGTCTGGCTGTGCGCCCGAGCCTCCCCATGTGAGCCTGCTCCTTCACCCCAACACGGCAACAATAACCCCAGCACAGCGTGAGCTGCCGCCACCACTGGATGAGGGGCCGTCCTCACGGTGACCCTGGAAGTGAGGCACCTTTTATAAATGAGGAACTGAAGCCCAGAGAGATACAGTAACACACCCCAGGTCACCCAGCCAGCACCAAGACTCGGCTCCAGGCGCCCAAATTCCATAATGCCCCTCCATCGCCTCCTGCTCCCAGCAGCAGCTCCCCGTTTAGCCCCCAGCTCAGTCCTTTCACAGCTGCCTCGACACCTGAGACCCATGCCTGGGTAGGGCCCCGGGCCCTGACCCTTGAAGGTCCAGGCCCATCCCCTCTGCTCCAGATTTTCCAGAAGAGATTCAACGGCTCAGTGAGCTTCTTCCGGGGCTGGAACGACTACAAGCTGGGCTTCGGGCGCGCGGATGGGGAGTACTGGCTGGGTAAGGCAGGGCCTGGTCGGGCGGGGGCGCCCCGAAGCCAGGGCCTTGCTGACAGGCTGCCTCTCCTCCCCAGGGCTGCAGAACCTGCACCTCCTGACGCTGAAGCAGAAGTACGAGCTGCGGGTGGACCTGGAGGACTTTGAGAACAACACAGCCTTCGCCAAGTACGCTGAGTTCTCCATCTCGCCCAACGCGGTCAGCGCCGAGGAGGACGGCTACACCCTCTATGTGGGGGGCTTCGAGGATGGCGGGGCAGGTACCCCGAACCCGGCCAGCAGAGGGAAGGGTTGTGGGGACTGGGGTGCACCCCCACAGGCTGTGACCCACTCCCTGCAGCCCAGGGCTCAGCACGCCCTCAGCTGGCCCTCCCCTCTGCCAGGCGACTCCCTGTCCTACCACAGCAGCCAGAAGTTCTCCACCTTCGACCGGGACCAGGACCTCTTCGTGCAGAACTGTGCGGCCCTCTCCTCCGGAGCCTTCTGGTTCAGAAGCTGCCACTTCGCCAACCTCAACGGCTTCTACCTGGGTGGCTCCCACCTCTCCTATGCCAACGGCATCAACTGGGCGCAGTGGAAGGGCTTCTACTACTCCCTCAAGCGCACCGAGATGAAGATCCGCCGGGCCTGAGGGGCTGCCCCGCCCTGGCCCCCAAGGCCGCTCTGCTGCTCCCTCCGCTCTGGCCTCTCGCGGGGCCCGTCACACTCATTGCGTCCACCTCTCGGCCAGGCCTCTGCTCCCCGCCCCCCGAGGCTCCTCCGAAAGACACAGCTGTCCGGCCAGGACCTGGACCCTGTCCCTGAGGGGCTCTCCCAGGCTGCAGGCTTCTGGGCTCCACCTCAGCCGGCTTCCTGATTGGCCTCCTCCATCTGGGGCCACCAGAGCCAGTGAGACTGGCTGGCGCAGTCCGATCTATGCTCACAGCACACACCGGGCCACTTGCATGTGGCCACTGCTGCCATCCCCAGCAGTCCCTCTGACCAGTAGAGCATCTCTCATCCTCTGCCTCTCCCAACAGCTTTACCCCAGTGCTGAGCACCGTGGACCCCAGCCCCGTCTCACTGTGGCCCTTAGCCTCCCGCCTTCCCCTCCCGGATGCCCCAGGCCCGATACTGAAACCATACTCCCCTCCAGCTACGCAGGCCACCCCAGAACAGCCACAGCCCGAGGAAGGCACAGTTGTGAGGTCCCCCCACCTGCCCCGGGGGTGAGCTGATGGTGGGAGAGGGCAGAGGATGCCCTCTGTGGGGATGGAGGCAGGTGGGGAGCACAGGTCTCAATAAACCTCAGGACCTGAAGGAACTGGCCTCGGCTGTCATGCACGCAGATGCATTTGCTTGATCCCCAACGGGGTTCCCTACAGACGGCACCCTGCCCTCAAATCCAAAAACACACCCGGAGTTAGACGCTAAAGGAAACCTTGTTTCACAGGCTTCGTTTTCATGGCAAAACATTGTATAATAACAGTAACAATACTACAACTATTAATAAAAATACGATACTGAAGAGGACCGCTCGGGGGCAGGGCTCGTCCGATCCCGCGGGGCTCGCTGCTGGCTCAGGTGGCTGCTTAAGGCCGCAGGGTGGGTCTGAGATGACCCTGCAGAACCACCAGACCTGAGCTTCCCCAGCAGGGCCCCGAGCGCCAGCCCTTGGGCGTTCCTGCGATCTTGGAGCTGGGTCTGCCCCTGGCAGCAAGGCACAGACTGTGGGCCTCAGGGCTCCTGGAGGTCAGGCAGGTCAGCCAGCAGCATCGGGGAGTCCATCTGGATCTCACGCTGCAGGGACTCGATGTCTGCAGGGTTCATGCCGTGGCCCTCAAGCCAGTCAGCAAGCAGGGAGGCCGAGAGCGGGGCCGAGTCTGCCTGGCTGCAGCGGAGGGAGGGGAGAGTGGAGGCGGCTGGTGCAGAAGTGGGAGCCCCTACCCACAGCCCCTCCAGCAGCCCGGCCAGCATCTTACCCATCCTGGGGCCCGTCAGCCACGCCCATTTCGAAAGACTGGTTTAGGAATTCCTCAAGGTCAAAGCCAACACCGTAGCCGGCCCCACTGCCCTTCGGTGTGCCCGAGAACACAGGGGGCAAGGGGTCCTCCACCTGCAGAGGGTGACGGCAGCTTGCAAGGTAGGCCCCAACAGGAGCCGACGGGGGTCTGCTGGGCACCCCATCCTGACACTGCCCACGGTGACCGCGCCAGCCTGGACAAACACCAAGTGCTGCCCGCGGTCAGTGCCACGCTCTTTCTGTGAGTGAGGGGACAAGTTAAGGAGACGGAAACCTGCCCACTGATCAGCTCTCCCAGAGCAGACACGTCACAGCGCCTCCCGCCCCCAAGGACTTCCCAAACCCACTTCCTGGGCTCAGATCCAGGCGTCCCCAGGGCTGGACTCCTCCTCTCACCTGCGACTTGGACAGCTGCTGGGTCACCAGGTTGACGTCGTCGGGCGACTCTGAGGTGGAGGGCTGAGGGGGC